ATATTGGATAAAATACTACACCAAATGGACAGACACAGATTAAACATAAAGTCCCCTGGTTTGTCTCTAGAGTCTAACTGCCATGAAAAAAAACAAATCAATGTTCCAAAATCCGTCACTAGATGTCGCTCATTGTACCAATACGGTTGATATAATACATAACATATTGTTATTAGGCTATAGTAAAAGGGGTCGCTTTGGCAAAAACCATGATGTGTGGTGCTATCTGTAGTTGTCTGTCTTATTTTTTGTTGATTTCATATTGTTTTCACATTGCTGTGAAAATGAATTTCCCCCTGGGACAATAAATTGAAACTAAACTATTTTAATATTCAATCCCACACTTGGCGATTGAGAACATAAATTCATAATTTACCTCGTTTAAAGCACTTTTGTTGCAATACTATGGATTTAGTTGACACTACTAGCCGAGTTTCTTTTGTCCAATATCCCGCGGGCAGGTACATTGAATTAGAAGAAGAAGAAGAAGAAGAAGAAGAAGAAGAAGAAGAAGAAGAAGAAGAAGAAGAAGAAGAAGAAGAAGAAGAAGAAGAAGAAGAAGAAGAAGAAGAAGAAGAAGAAGAAGAAGAAGAAGAAGAAGAAGAAGAAGAAGAATAACGCTAACGCTACAAACAGGCACAACACTGTTAATCTGTTTTTACTGACATGTAACATTATATTTCACCTTGCTCTATGTTTTTTTAACGCACATTCAAAAACGGGAGTATTTTCGGGAGTTTCAACCGAAAACGGGGACTTTGCCCCAAAAACCGGGACATTTTGGTCACCCATCCGACTGTGTTTATAGCTAAGCCAGGGGCGGACTGGCCATCGGGACGTTCGGGACGAATCCCGATGGGCCGGTACTGAAGTGGGCCGATCGGACGATGTGGGCCGGTCGGATAAGGGGCTGATTTGTAGTCCTAGTCCGCCGCTGAGCTAAGCACACATGCTAACATTATTAAGACTACAAGCTCACTTTTTTACACGTTGCTTGACTGCCTGCCCACATATCTGATCTAAACATAGTAACGTGTATTGGGGAAAATAATTATTTAAATGTATTTAATAATTGTGACATTTATTGTACTTTTTGATGGATGAATGATGCTCAAAGTGAGGGGGCAAAGAATACTACTACAATGCCCCCTCGTGGCGCCGGGCCCACCTCTGAGTCAGTGTGTGTGTGTGTGTGTGTGTGTGTGTGTGTTAATTTGTAATTTGTCTGTCCAATGACCTTGCTCCCTTTCATGTCATGTGATACCTTGCGTGACGAGCGAACCATTTAATCAACCTCAAAAGTTATAGGTACTGTGGATAGAAGCAGCAATTTCGGCAGCATTATACAATGGAATAGTTTGCATTTATAATGTACAGCAAGCCAGGGCTGGACTGGGACAGCAAATCGGCCCTGGCATTTAGACCCAGACCGGCCCAAATCCATAAAACAAACGAATAGTAGCGGTTCCTGACAAGAAGAATAACTCAGTATAATTTTAAAAAACGCTATTATTATCCTTTTTACGTACCAGGGGCAAACAAAACTAATACATACCACAAGTATGTGTAACTATCAATCATTAGAAATTAGACCTTCAAACCCTCTCACAAAGCGAACAGTGACCGAGCACTAATAGGGGGGTCTGGGGGGGTATGCCCCCCACAGAAGAAAAGTTTTAAAAATAACCCCTTAAATGATGACTTCTAGTGAATTTAGGGGGGGGGGACCCTATAGTGCCCTGCCTCCCCTTTCTATGACAACACAATAGAGATAGGACCAGATGAGTCTACAGGATGAGTCGATGGCATCTTTTTATATACATTGACGCTTTCATTTAATTTTTCCATCCTTTTGTTAATCGCTGTAATTGTATTGCCTTTTTCATCTGTACACACGACACCTATTGCACGTCTGTCCGTCCTGGGAGAGGGATCCCTCTTCTGTTGCTCTCACAGAGGTTTCTTCCTACTTCCCACTGTTAATTGTGGGGTCTGTTTTGGGGAGTTTTTCCTTGAGCGCTGCAAGGGTCTAAGGACAGAGGATGTCGTACCTGTACACACTGTGAAGCCCTCTGAGACAAATTGTAATTTGTGATATTGGGCTATATAAATAAAATGTGATTGATTGATTGACGCACGCAAGGGGCTATAGTGCAAGTCTTAGGCGGCTGGTTTCTCAGAACCTCACAGAGCACACAGAACTGAAGGAACACAGGTTTAACCAAAAATACTATCCACTGTCTTTATTTTTTTTCCTGAGAATAGGTTTGAAAGAGACAGATTTAAATTTACAAAGAGAGTTGAAGCAACATTTGACAGAAATCCCACATAAATTACAAAAGTACACAACTAGCAAGATATATATACTGTATATATATACTGTACACACAAAGTAACTTATATACTAGACTGAAATAACTAAAATGAATGCTTGTTGTGGAGAGGGGCACTATGTCCAGCGTCCATTCCTCTCTGTGTGTGTGTGTGTGTGTGTGTGTGTGTGTGTGTGTGTGTGTGTGTGTGTGTGTGTGTGTGTGTGTGTGTGTGTGTGTGTGTCTGTGTGTGTGTGTGTCTGTTTGCATGTGTGAGTGTAGTTGGGGGGCTTTGGGAGAGTCAAAAAGGATGCAGGTGACCTCTTTGGTCCCTGATAGAGGTCCATACAAATAGGCATTGACATAACAATACCACACAGTTAATGGTCAAAACTACATGTGTGCCTACATTTTTTCTTCTATTTCTATATTATTCATTCTATATATTGTCAATCAAAACTACCACAAAAAGCTGACTATAAACATTTTGTTCAGGTCCCAAAAGACCACTGTTGCCCTTATAAACACATAAGTAAATAAACTAAACAAAACAAGCTGCCAGCTGACAGTAATTGTTCATGAATGGTGGTTAACAAAATAATGACATTCTTTCAATGAGACAACGTATCAGAGTCCCATTAAGCTATATTTTAACTTGCCAGGGAAAACCTAAAATAGCCAGTTTACTAGCTTGTAGGCTAACGAATGTTTCTCTAATAATATTTGTCTTATTAGTGCTTCATCAAGGGGATATTAATGGGTTCCAGAACTACAGAGTATCATAACCTTAATAATAATCTTTTCCTAATTTTCTTAGCTTCTGCTTACCGCGAGTTCTCCTCCCTCTCCCCACTCGCGCGGATCTCTCTCCCTCTCATCATCTTCCTCACCACCACCAATATCGGCCACGGGTGCTGAATATGGACCTGCACCTGTACTAAACATGTCGGTTATTTTGACACAAGCGGCAACATCAGCACGAAGGGCCTGCTTTTTTCTTGCCCGCAATTTTTCTGCTCCCCCTTTTCGCTTGGCCTTCGTCTTCGCCTTCGCCTTCTCCATTTCTAACTCGAACTTTTTTTTTTCTCGAAAAAAAAGGCGATTTGGCTTCAACGGCCGGCTCACCTCCTGGGGGCGTGATTTAATGATGCACACCGAGCGGCCCAAAGGGGGAGGTGATTAAAGATTTGATTGGGCCGGCCCAGTGTCAATTACTAAAAACATTTAAACAGAGGGCCAATCTACCCGTCTTATGGGCCGGGACTTCAGAAAAAAAAAAAAATGACGTGTCGGCCCAAAAGGCACGTCGGCCCACCGGGAAAATGCCCGGTATGCCAGATGGCCAGTCCAGCCCTGCAGCAAGCCAAAGTACAAGAGCAGCGCTCAAAAGAGAAAGGACAAGAGAGAACAAGGAGATGTAACGGCTAAACTGACGAAATTAGACATCATCCTCGAAATCTCGATTAATTCTGTAAAGTGATTGTGTGATTAGTTCGCTGTGCCGTTGTCAGGCTGTGGTGGTCTGAGGCCAGGGCAGGCTGTTGTTGATAGCCTACATGTGGCGCTTATGAGTGGTTGTGTGTGTCCGTGCGTGTGTGAGCGCATCAGCGTGCACTTATGTTTGGGGCGATGGGGGGGGCCCAAAACAATATTTGCACCGGGGCCAATCACAACCTTGTTACGCCATGGTGTGTGTCGTGTGTGTTGGAGAGAAGAATCCTATTAGAGACATAGACCTTGAAATATAAATCGTATGACAGTAAAATGAGTGGACTGAGAGGGATCTCATGACAACAGAGAGGAAAGACACACGCTGAGAGAGGGAGGCTGTGTGGGAATCCTATCCTTGCGGAGCAGTCAGGCGTTAGGACCCGGGGGATAGCAGACAACTTAAAAAGGTCTTCAGCCTGTCAAGCTCCCGGAAGTCCGGAAAGGCTGTACAGGAAATTGGGTGCCTGGACCTTTAAATAAGATTACTACAATTTGTGATTAACAAAGAGCAGCAAACTGTATGCATGAACATATAATTAAATGTGTGGAATCTGCTAAATAAATAATGTAACAATATAATAGGTAATGCTCTGTCCAACAATGCTTCAGATACCGATTACCTCAATATTTTAGATTTTGGTCTTTTCAAAATGTACTTCTATGGAAAACTCCTATATTGTGAAGCTTTTTTGTATGCACTTTGTTTTCTGTTAAACATACAAATACAAGAACATGTTTTATTTGTATTTAATACATTCTCTAATTATGAGTTATTTTTTAGTTTTAGTTATTAAGTTGATTTAATTTGGATATTGAATAATCCTGTGTCACATTTTAAAACCACGAAACTGTTGATTTTGAGTGCAATAAATACCCTTCAATTGTCCAGTTTTAGAAGCAGTACATATTTTCCCTGACCATATTCATTCGTTTTCGTGAATCAGTCGCGAAATTCATCACAATTCTGCTGTTATTTCATATTATTCTGAAACTCAAAAGCGGAAGCTCTGCTCGTGGTAGCGCACCAGTCTTTACGCGGGTGTCTGGCACCCGGCGTGGTGCGCACTGCTCTCCATTCCTCTCCAACTCAACGTCAGTCTGTCAGAGACCGTCTAAGCGCGCACACACACACCGTACCCCTGTCACACACTCTCTGGCACACAAGCGCGCACTGACGCACACACAGACTCGCTGTCGGACCCGGGAGGAGAGGAGAGGAAAGGAGAGCTCCAACTTCCCTCTTTGCTTCTACTTGTGTCTTTCTGTCTCTTCTGATCCACCAATGCGAGGATTTTATTTCTGTTCTCACTCTTATTCTCCCAGCCGTCCCGAACTAAGGAAACCCGGTTTAAGGACCAGACGGGAGTATGTAAAATAACCTGCACGACTGAGCCAAACAAGAAAAAGAAGAAGAAGAAGAAGAAGAAGAAGAAGAAGAAGAAGAAGAAGAAGAAGAAGAAGAAGAAGAAGAAGAAGAAGAAATGGATAAACGGAGTTATTCTCTCGTTTTGCCTGCAGCTTTCCTCTACTTTGGACTTTGGGGATTTACTGCTGGACAATTCTTTCCAGGTAAAGACATGTGTTTGTTTCATTTGTGGATATTTAAATCATATCTTCCAGTTTTGGTGCGCTTGTATGATTTATTTTCGAGTCTGAATCGGTGCATGAATGCCACGGTGTCGCATGTGGGAATGTAAAGTTGGCATGCAAGTTTATTTTGTGCGTTTCTGCTTGAGCCTCATGCAGCTGCGTATTGTTTGTTATTGTGATGGTAAAACATGTCCATTTTTAGAACCTTTTCTGTCATGGAGGATCTATATCTGTTCGTGCGCGCATACAATGCCATAAATCAGTTGTTTATGGAAATAAAAAAAGATTTATGGCGGGTGTCTGATAATAGTGACTGTTTGACTTATAGTGACAGTTTACACCATTATAGGTCAGTCTGGCTCAGATCTGATGTGCGCGCATGGGTGACGTTTTGGCACTTCACGAGGTTTTTGCTCCATGAAGCGTCCGGTGCGCGTGGACTGTTTGCTGTTGAGGGTTCATTCGTAACTTGGGTGGTTTTTATGTATGGTTACATTTCGCTGTGAACTTGCTGTGTTTAGAAGCAGTTCGGTGCGTTTTGGCTCCATGAGCGCAACGCTGCAAACAGTCTGAACAGTCCCTCTTTTTGTCCTTGTTCCGATCAAAGTATTATTTTGTCGCGTGCTACAGTGCACATGCACAAGGATCATTGTACCGTACAACTCCTATAAGTAAGTTCCCCCCTGCATCTATTGGCTTTTAATCCAACTTTTACAACTGATCTGAGATATAATTCACACTCCGCATTTCAAAAAAACAATTACGCACAATGCTGAATGATATATCCGAGCCGCTCAGTGTTATTTCCCGGAGTTGAAGCTTCACACAGTCCGCAGAAACATCGCTGCTCGGCAGTCAGGAGCCGGCTCTCCTCTGGCACTTGTTACGCGCCGGAGATGTTTGGAGAGTTCGCGGGTTTGGCAGAGTTCTCCCAGGCTTGGATCAAATCAGTGGTTGATATGATTGTCAGTGATCGGAAACTGAAGCGTGGATGCAAAGAGCCACGCGCCGTGGTGCAGCTGCTCTCATTTCAAGTGTTCTCAAACATATCCATCCCTTAACAAAAACACATTGAGGCGATGATGAAATCGCTTATTTATAAGTTGGAACATATAATGACCGCCACAGAAATAGTGTAAAACCTGAATAAAGGCACTTTGTGTGTATTGTAACTTGACGTTTGCATGATCCGAGAATTAAAACAGTATGTCGGTGCGTCCTGTGCTATAACTCCGTAAAGCACCAGATCTCCCTCAGTCTATTCTCTTTAAATCAGAGATGTTCCCACTTGCAGCAGTAGGCTGTATCTGCGCGCTCTCGGCACCTTCTGCTTGGTATTCATGACTTGTAAGGCTGCAAAAAGAGGCTACTCTGAAGGGAAGACTGGCTCCAAACACTGAGTCCTGCCTCTCTGTCTCTCTGTCTCTCTCTCTGTCTCCCTCTCTCTGTCTCTCTCCGGCTCCCGGCTGTAGCGCCGCGGAGCAGCCGTCCTTCTCTCCGTGCGTAACGGTTCAGCGAAGGAATCCGCTATGCAAATCGCTTTATGCTGAAATAACTAGTGTCAAATAGTGTTCATTTTTGCCAAATATGTGCGTGGAGGTCGAAATCAATCCTTAAAACACATTATTTGTCTGTTTAACAAGGGATATTCATTAATATAAACAGAAGTGCAGGAGAGGAAACTCTGTTTAAAACCATCATGAATTGAAAGAGGCAATCTTCTCTGCAGTTTAATACTAAATATTGCATTGCGTCCTGTTGAGGATACAATTCATGAGGTTATTGTCAGTTTAAGTAGAAATAACAATTATTGTCACTTTAGAGTGGTATATAAATCAGTCTTGGAGTTTTTCTGTCATGTGTGCAGCGATGTTTAGACAATCACAGTATCAATATTTGCACGTTTATTAAATTGGGAATGTTTTCCTGTGTGTGAAAGATTTTAGGACTTTTTTTATGGTAATGTAAGGAAATACGGTTACCTTTTCTTTGTTTTCTGATTACATTATGTAATCTGTTACTCCCCAAGCCTCATATGAAGAACAGCCTGCCATGCTCTTTGCAATAACAATGCAGAAAGCGTGTGTCTGTTTGAGAGAAACCGAGAAAAGAGCAGAGGGATGATTCCTTGTTCGCTCCTGCGCCGTTAGGGGGCGATATTGTCCCACCAGATGTGTCCACACACAGACAGAGCGGACGGAGTGATTTTTTAAATACTCTTTCTTCTTATTCCAATTCCAGCTGCTCGGTTTTGTTTTTAGAAAATGTATGTGAAGCAGTTAAATGATAATAGAGTGAAAGCCCGTGATGAAAAAGATGCTCTCCCCCTGCCTGTCTGTCAGCCTGACGGACATGGAAGTTGTAATCTCCCTCCCAAACACCCTCTCTGTGTGCTTTACTGCCAAACAGCTCAATTATCAGAGCACGTTGCTCCCACTGATGTAAAGCTGCATCTGTGTGGCCAGATACCAGCAGAGGCGGATAGTTTTATTACTTTTATAATTAATTTATGTCCCATCTTCCACCAACATGTGTATTTTCTTTAACCGTGAAATTGAGTTGGATGAGAATATTACTTGTGTAGAGTCATTGGTGTCGTTTACGCTGCACGCTGCAGACATGTCCCCATCACTTCTTGAAATGTCTGATTTGGACCCTATTACCTTTTTAAAACATATATATTTGTAAGAAAATTTCAAAAAAATCCTTACACAGAGAAAGTTTACCTAAGCTAACAAAAAGCACCAATATCTTTGATTATAAAATGATTTAAAAAATCATGCATGCAATGATCAGTACATTTATATATTATTTCTTGACACAGTTTATTTTATATTTGATAGGAAAACCTGCCTTTTATTAAGCATATTCAGGCAGTAGCCTATACCCACAATGAAACACATGAGGCCACACTGCAGTTTAAAAAAGCAGAAATTAAATCTAAGCTGACAGAAAAAAGGCTTTAGGTTAATACACACAGTTAAACTCACACACACTATTTTATGAACATATCGGTTTAAAAAAAGAACAAATTAACCAAAAAAAGTGAAAACCATAAAATCAGGCAGTATGCATAAAGATTCACACTTAAAGCCACAGAACAGCTTACAGAAAAGAGACAACATCTGATCCCGCTAATAATCCCCAATTTTATGAACTATAACAGCAATCTGATTTTAGGACTTTTTTATGGTAATGTAAGGAAATACGGTTACCTTTTCTTTGTTTTCTGATTACATGATGTAATCTGTTACTCCCCAAGCCTCATATGAAGAACAGCCTGCCATGCTCTTTGCAATAACAATAAAGGTGTCAATCAAACAAGTCCAGGTGATAGGTGATTCTTGAACAAATTATAATTTGGGTCCTTAAGGAAAAGCGTTGACAAAGTACTTGAATTTCCTTATTGGTAGGGGGACTTATTTTTTAATTTGAGTGAACATTCCCTTTAAAAAAAGCTCCATTCGTGATATTCAGAAAAGCAAAGGCATGTGTTACCCAAGGCTGTCTTTTTCATCTTGAGAGTGTGTGTGTGTGTGTGTGTGTGTGTGTGTGTGTGTGTGTGTGTGTGTGTGTGTGTGTGTGTGTGTGTGTGTGTGTGTTGGGTGCAGCTGTGCTACTGATCGCCTTCGAGCTCCAGCGACCGCTAATTGTTGAACATCCGGTCGGATCTGGAGGTGACGACTAGGGCACTGAGGTGTGTGTGTGCTTTCAGGGAAACCAATTTACAATTTATATTCCACTTAATCAGATTTATTTGGCTGTGAGGACAGATGGGAGAAAGAGTACAAAAAGGAAGATAGTGACCATGTTTGACTTTCTCTCCGTCTCTCCTTGACACGTTTGCCCAGTGCGATGACATGTTGGAGAGACAAGGAGAAGTCTTTGGCTTTGATCGAATCAACAGCCTTCAATTCCCCAATTATGGAGCCCTTTATGTGATTATGTGGGGTGTGTGTGTGCCATGCTTCATATGACACAGAGGGAGAGGGTATCATACCAGCAGAGGAGAGTGGAAGGTTGGGGAAGTAACGTTGAAGTGAGGAATACACTATTTCTTGCAGAGAAAAGAGGAAAACAGGCAATGAGGAAGGAAAGGAAAACGGGAGTGTGATGTGATGGAGGAAACAAACTGAGTTCCAGAGGAAAAGTGAGAGAAAGCCAGTCAGGTGACAAAAAAAGGACTTGAGAGCAGAAAAAAGAGGAGAACAGAGGATATGTGCAGGGAGCTGGAAGGGGATAGGGAGAGATCGAGCAAAGGAGATGAGGACAGAATGGAAAGAGCATATGTAAAGCAAAAGTAGTATAAGTAAAGAAAAGAGAAATTGATTTCAGAGAACAGGCAAATAAATGGTCCCATAAGCAAGGAGAAAGGACATATCATTTAATTTCAAACCTTTATTTATCCAGATTGTCCCTTGAGATCAAAGATCTCTTTTTCAAGGGAGACCTGCAGCAATTAGGTTCCACATGAAACATAAAACAACATAAAACAATAGAGGATATCATACAACATATTTACAAGCTACATTTACATACTTATCAACATTTACAAATACCCATAGTTTCAATGAGCATTTCATTTACACTTGCTTTAAAAACATTCAGAGGAATAAAATTGCTCAGTTTCAATTTTAGCTGTAGATTGTTCCAAGCAAGTGGCGCTGCGCACATAAAAGCTGTCTTACCTAAGACAGTCCTTGCTCTTGGCACATGTAACAATACTACATCATGCGATCTCAGACAATAGCTGCTTGCAACTCTCTGTGTTATCAGAGAGCAGATATAATACGGCAGTTTACCCAACAAAGCTTTATAAATAAACGTGTACCAATGACTGAGCCTCCGTACAGTAAGTGAAGGCAGACCTGCCTTGGTATACAGGGTACAGTGATGTGTAAGTGCTTTACAATTTGTAACAAATCTCAGTGCGCTGTGATAGGCGGCATCTAACTTGTTCAGGCAATGGGCAGGTGCAT